CACACACATGCATACATATAATATAAGTCCACTATTATGTAGCAGTTTGTATACTTTGGTAGGCAGTGCATATTATTTGCCAACAAGTGTGCGCTCGCCTTCGTGCAACTGCATGCATGTACTCATCTATACACATACATATTTATGTATGTTCGTGTGTGTGTATGTGTGAAAGTGTGCTTTAGCAAATCGTTCTCTCATTACGTTCTAAATTAATTGAAATAATTTACTTGGGCTTGTGCAAATGAATATGCATTGCAGCATTACACCTCACTTCACCTACCCACTGTGCGAACCGTTTCACTATTCGGTTGTGTGTGTGTGTGTGTGTGTGTGAATTTTAAAGAGGATTTGCGGGATTAAAATGCAATCGCCTATGACACCGCATTGCCATTGTAAATATGCCGAATGTCAGCGTCGCGATGCATAAGCGACCGCTTAATGAGAAATATTGCAAATGTGTTTGCTTTGCGACGCCAGTGTGCACACAGCGTCGCCTAATTGATGGTGCATTTATCAAACAAAGAAATATTTGCAATTGCTGCTTTTAAATGAATAATTAGAATTAATAAGAGATATGAGCCGCAAACAAATTTGGCAGGAAGGCACAAGCAAAGCGCCCCTCACCTTTTATCTATCCTATCATTTTTTGTGCCCGCCATTGAATTTTACTACAAATGATCACCGGGAACTGGGGCTGTCATTGCGACATCACTTTGCTGTATTGTTTTGAAACACCTGATACTTTTTAATTCATCTTAATACTATGCAGTGTTGCCAATTTAATTAACTTATGTCAAGTGTATAAGCAGTGTCATGTCTCGGAGAAGTGTTACACTAAAAATTGTCAAAAATTGAAAGGGTACAAATAATTCTAAAATTCTATTTCGACGTGTCTGCCAAATTAATAGCAAAATAAAAAGAAACACTAACTTCGGTTGCACCCAAGCCATAATACCCTTCACGTATGTATTGATTGTATAACCACGAGGGTGATCCAAGATGAGTTAGTTTTTTCAAAAGCCTTTTCTGTCAGATCACGCGTGAGTCATTTTATTTTTGTTCAGTATTGTTTGTCGTAGCTGAGAGCGTACAGGAAGTTCGTGGAGAGTCGATTCGACGCAACTCGGACTGACGTATGGAACGACTTGCCGCATTTTAATTCGAGATTTTAAATTGAAAGCGCACAAAATACAGCTTGTGCAAGAATTGAAACTGCTCGACCATCTCAAGCAAAATAGCTTCGCTCAATGGGCGCTTGAAACGTTTCAAGAAGTTCCGACGTTTTCGAGCCAAACTTTGTTCACCGAAGTTGCCCATTTCTGGTTCAATGATCAACAAGATCGTGTGCTATCACACCGTTAGACTTTTTCCTGTGGGAATAAGTAAAGTCTGTTTATGCGAGATTTGACTCAACGGATGGACCATCTGAGACGTAGGCGTGTCAAACCTTTTAAAAATATTACCTTCAAAAAATAAATCCACAAATATGTTCTCTCGAATGATAGTAAAAATTCCTTTCTGTGTTTTTTCTTTCAAAGTACTTGATTTTGATGGTTTTCTTTATATGACAGCTATACCTAATAGTAATTCGATACCGGAAATTCCGACAAATGAGTAACTTTTTGGAGTAAAAGAGGCGTGTGCAAGTCTTCAGAACAATATCTCAAAAACTGAAAGACTAATGCACGACTCGGCTTGTCACGCTGATAATTTATGCTCAATAAAATATTGTACTTTATATGCTCTCCGAAGATTTCTGCTTTGTGAAACTAGAGTTGTTGGTTCTAATAGCTATAAACCCCGTGAAAACTTAACAAATCTGTTTTCAAGTTTAGGAGAGGTAAGATTTTTTAACATATCCTTATGGGCGCTGATTGGACAATGACAAGTCAAATCTCTACAGTTAGGAAATTAAAATGCTGCTGTCGAAGAGGTAGTGGTTGACCAATGGTCCCTGAGCTCGCATGACGCACAACCATCTAGTATCAAATCAAGAAAATGAAAAGAAGACAGAGGAACTTTTTGCCACTCTGCTGCTAATGGAACTGAAATGTGTTTCCCGCAAGCTCATTAGCTTTAAAATTTCATGCGAATATGTGGTGGCCAGTATCCCTACTAATTTTATCATAAAACCGTCGATTACAAAAGTTATGAGATTATTTTACAATACGAAAGACGGAGGCCCGTAAAATCAATGTGAATTCAGGTGAAATCTGCCTCCTTTTGTGTGAGAACTTATTACCATTTTGAAAGTCCTTATTGACAAAAAACTGGGACAGTCGATTTTCGAAAGCTTCCGTTAAGTCGAATTTTTCACCAGCACAGTTATCCGCCGTAACAAGAAACACATAGTAGTCCCTTGATGGTTGCATAAGATTATCCCTACCAAGCTCCTGAATGTTCTTGAGAGTCGAAATCAAGGCGTGTGGCCAGGCATTGTCCAGACGGTGCACTCATACAGGCCGAGTCTGGAAACTTCTAGTCGAATGTTTACTTCAAACATTCCAAGTATTGGCAAACCAGGTCTAAATTAATGTTTGACCATAGGGGAGCAGCTCATGGTAGATGGTTCCCTGCTAATCCCACTAAACACACAGCAAAACCTTCCTGACTGTCAATCTTTGCTTGACCACTGTTTCCGTCAGCTTCGCGCCACCGTTTTTACTTCAGTGTCATAAATGACCGAGTCTGTAAAATTCCGCTTCAGGAATTAATCCATTTTATTGTGATTCATCAAGGCTTTCAAGAAATTCGGTGCATGAAATTTTCAGGGTTAACTCGTGTGGCTCACAAACCGAGTTTCTTTTTATATCCACCGTTATTTAGCGACCGGGCAATCGAAACAGTGAGTAAATGACGGACGGACTCGACGATTTCTATTATTTTATCAATATCGACAATTCTAAAGACGACTAGAATTTCTGCAGCCTGGTGCATCTTTGCCTCAAAATTCTTCCGAACGAAATCCCATAAGTTTTAGGTATTGAAACATCTTAAGTCAAGCGTCTCAGCATCATCCTTGTCATAAAACACTCCTGAACGGAAACCCATAGATTTTTGGTATGGAAACATCTTAGGTCTTAGATGTATCCTATTTCTATATTTCGCACACTGCGTTATGTCTACGACACGAATTCAGCAATATAAAGAGCTAAGTAGAATCGATACTCCTGTTCTTATCTATTTTTGGTACTGCCATTCGTTGCTTTTTATATGTATATAAGAAGGCAAATGCTGAATGTATTTATAGGGGTTATGACCTATTTTCTCTGCAAAATCAAATGAGGCTGATGGATAACAAAATGTTAGAAGAAGCCGTGTTGCAGTTTAGCCAATTTCGAATATTACTTAAAACCATATAAGAACAGCAATTATATCAACCTCTCACAAAAGATATAATTAGCCTAAATGATCACATTTCTGAAGAGTATTTATGTATTAGCTTCATAATTTTTTGTTAATAATTACTCAACAATTTTACAAATAATCGTTTTAATTAAATAATAGATTGAAACTTATTAAAAGCCTTTGCTTACTTGCCTGGCTCCCAACATCGCGACCACAAAAGCGATCCGTAGCCGTTGTGATTGCAAAAGTTCATCTGTTTGCGAGTTATTTATTAACCACAAATGCACTTAACCTTATCTGTAAATTGTTTTAAATCGAAATTGAATAAAAAATAAAAATAAAGTATACATACTGCGCATGCTTATTACTCATATGGTGAATGCTCAAATTATACGTTTAAGGTAGGAATTATGGGTCCCGTTGAAACAGAGCTTTCTTGTTCATATATACATAAATAAGCATATACTATACACATAAGCAAAGGCACCACCAGTATTTTAGAAAGGGAGCATGATATATAGAGTTCTGCAAACCTAGATGTGCAAGCTTTATATTCGAAGGCTAAATTTATGAACTTAAATATAAAAAAAAATGATTTTTCTTCAGTTTTAGTTGAAACAAAAATAATATGGCAGAGTCTATGGCGACCAAAACCATCACATCAATAAATTTAAGATTTCATCAAAACCCTTTTGACTGAGCCACTGTATACAATTATGATTCTAAAATACAGTTATTTATTTAATTTCTCTGAAGCGATTTAAGATAATATTTAAACAAAAAAAAAATATTTTTACTTTTATTTTTTATATACATATATATATTTTTTTTATATAACTTTAGT